TGGTTTTTAGCTCTTCCCTGTGACATTTAGACTATCGTAAATATCATGATAAATTGGAAAAAGATAACCCTTGCCTACCCTATTCAATTCCGATACAAGGTCCCCCAGTCTAATTAGTTTCTGAGATTTTCAAATTCTCCCCTATCTCGCCCTTCTTGACTTTATACTACTGTTAGGTATTGATGACTTAACATTTGATATTCCTAAAGTCTATTAAAGTAGATAAAAAAAAACTTTCAATTAAAGATACACACTGTTTTGTACTGCCAACTATACAAATGCGTGAAACATTAAAATATTGTTTTACTTTAATATTTCCTATTTACTAGAACACACATACATAAATAAGAGTGTTGTCCCCTTAACCTAAGAAGGCGCCTCAAAAACCCTTCGGAAAAGAAACAACTTCTGCCCAGACGTGTTACTTCTTTTTCGGAAGCATAGTATAGAACACCTATAGGCTTTACGAGAGCACTTGAATTATTAAGTAAATAAACAACCAAAATCCTGTGACTTTTCTCATCTTAATTCGAATATTAGAGATATTAGAGTGCTCTGACTAAGCTGTGGCTGCATTCTTCTTCGCAAAAAGATGTAAGCACTTGGTCGACAACGGCAGTTCTTTGTCTTCCCAGAAGCCTCGTAGGAATTTATTAAAATCCCATTACTAAAAGAAATGAATAATTACATAGAGTACCATTTAACGACGGAAATTATGATAATACGCCTCTTCATAGCCCATTGTTCCTTCACTGGCCTGAGCGGGCAGCTTTATGCACGGTAACAAAATATGCTTTCCGGCAAAATTGAAAAAAGGCAATTAAAACTCAACGTGAGGCGGCGCCCAGATTTTAAACGACATTTAGCGGCCAATGAAGCACCGCCCTGTCGACAAAAATCGGTTATAACTTAATATTCCACGAACAATAAAAACAATGGTGATATTAGGAGAAGGTCATTAAAATACTAAATTAATGTCCGAGAATTAATAAGCCGCCCCAAATACGAATGCCTCGATGGGAAATTAGCGCAGTTTAGATTCCTTTGTAAAAACGACACAACATCGCTGTCGTTTTGTGCGAGAGGTGAATATTAATATGGGATACAGAAAGGCCTTTCGTCTCATAGTTTATTTTACTTTAAACAATACTTTTTACCTCGTGTTAGGATGGTATGCGCAAAATTAGGTAAAATTGGCCATTTCACCTCAAGTAGACTGTAAGACTGATCTTAGCATGAGTACCTGAAGGTTTTAGGGGCATTACTAAAATACTATGGAAGTTTGTAACTGGATCGTAATTCTGAGTGTGCTTAATATGTTGGCCGTGTGCCTTATTTTTTAGGGTGAATTTTATAGGACGCGCTATACTATTTAATAAATAGGATAAGACAAGAAATGTTTAAAAATTGACCATTTTATTGCAAAATAGCAAGATTTGCCCGAATAGTAAACATATCGGTGCATACTTTACATGTACCATGTACCGGAGAGAAGTAAGTGAGCATAGGAGTGCCAAATCTATGAGGCAGTGCAGTAGGTATGTGTTATCATGGAGGCATTAGGTATGATGTACACTCAAATGAACTCATCATAGGTACAGTTTTATACTGATCTCCCCTACTCACTTTACACACATATACATACTCATTACTACTATTGCTAATTTAATAACGAACCACCCAAAATCATATACAGTTTTTACAGCATGAATCGCATTTTGCTTAGTAAACTTTCATTGCTGAATTAGTGTGTATTTTAATATTCCCATCATTGATTACCAACTGTTTCCTTTGCAGTTTTATTACATACCATATGTTTCCCTCATTAACCATTGGTCATAAATTAGATCAAGTCGTACTCATTGTTATTTATAGTGTATGTCTGGCGCCGTGTGGCACAGTCTAGGCCTCAGGCCCGCGTAGGCCGGCTACCAACGTGGGCAACAAACAGCACTCTCGCCCAGCTCCCGGCCCTTACCTTACCTCGCATTATATATCGGCCCAACAATATAAATACAAGGCGCGGACATGCGTTGGTGCTGCTCTCTATTTATCGCCGCTGGAACTAGAATATATTACAAGCTAACCAGTGGTACTGACTTGCATTTATTTATTGGTCATCTTATTTTAACGGCCATGAAAAATTCAACTACTTCATAAAAAATGAACATGACGTGCCATGATACTTTCCAAAAATAGTTTTGTTCAGTAAATATGTCTATCGCCTCTATCGTACCAAAGAGCAAAGTAACGTGTTACAAAAGTAAATTCACTATTTTCGTAAGATGTCAGTACATTGAACATTACTGGTCAGCACTGTAGTTATAGTACTGTAATATTTCCTTTTATACCAGTGCGCCTTCCTTCTTTCTTATTGAGGCAAGTGAGACAAACAACGTACAGACTTTCAGTGCCTCATAGCATAAATCAAAGCCTGCCTTCAAAGGCAATACAAAAAAGCAAACATACAACATACAACAAAATCATGTGTGCAGTGTACATTGTTTGTTTGTTTACCTTAGCCTTAGAGTGAGTGTGAGTGTTGTTGTGGGTTGTGGTAAGGTGATTTGAGTTTATGTTTGAGTAAGCTTACTTGAGCTCAGATTTCTTTTAATTTTGTGGTGATGTGCCATTGTGTCAACAACGAGGCAGAGGCATTATAAGTTCAGTTGTGTTCGCCACCAATTACTGGGATATTTAAAACTCAATTTATTATACTGTTCGTTCACTGTTGTTGAACTACTGTAAAGTTTGTGAAAGCGAAAACCTCTCCCAAGGAACAATGATTTCCCTTACGTTTCTGCGAAGGTTTACCTTGTCTTCTGTGAAACCAAGATCCCATACCATGCCAGGGGACAATTTACCTTTTGGCTTAAACAACAAATTCAAGACAACTGCCATGGTTGTCGCTTTCTTCGGCAGTGCTGCAGCAGTTCCTTACCTTGTTTTGCGCCATCAACTTACAAAATAAACTATCAGAATGACATTTTAGCCAGGCTTAAATTTAAAACCACACACCCAAAGAACTAGCCTAAACATGGACCTGACTCAGCTTATTTATGTCATTAGGCTGTTAAAAAACAGATTTCATTATATTTAATATACAGTTTCTCTTTATAACTTACTGTCAATCTTGTAGGCTTACATCTTAAATACAAAGATTTTTTGAAACTGTACACGTGGTTATTATTTGATTTTCACCTTTATTAGTCAACCGTCAACCAACTAAGTTACTGTAGGCTAGGCCTACATTAGAGTTAAATATTAGCCTTAACTTTAAGATCAGTTATTACAACATAAAAAAAAGATAACGTATTTCAAGCAATTGAACTTAGCCCCTAGTTAGATCTATAAGCTTACCATCACTTCTTTTGTAGGCCTGATTATTTTCAATAAGTTTTTAATGTCACTCAACTTTAAGCCTAAATGTTCGTCCAAGAACACTTAACTAAACTTACTACGGTAACGTAGAACAATCTAGGGTAATTGGTGACACTAGTTAGCTCAGTATTCCCAAATTTGTTAGACTTGGCTACATATTTAAAACCTTAGACATTCTTAATACATGTAGCCTAAATTGGAGGCCTACTATTTTACCATTGTATTAACTTATACTTTGTAAGAGAATGAAATTATCCAAGCTCTAGGCTTCAAATTGTTTTTGACCACAGGATCAACTTATTCTTTGTATTTGAAGGGGAGCCCCTTCAACACATGGTTTTCCCACCATGGAAATGTGTCAACTTAAAGTTAAATATTCACCATAGCCTACAGTAAAACTTATTTGATAACTTAAAAACGTAGTTAGGCTTTAAAACCAGTTAAAAAGATTATAACTAAGCACTTAAATTAAGTTACTGGTAACTTAGACTAAATTTATTTCATAGAGGATACGCGTCCGGTAACCGGACGTGGATAAGGCGTACGGCAATGACGTCATGGGGTTGCGGGAGCCTGGAACGCCTTTACCACAACAATACGATGTCCAGCCATCGGTGTTCGTGGTGCAGTGGATAAGGTACTCGGCTGATATGCAAGAGGTCCAGGGTTCGAATCCCATTGATGACTTTAACTTTTTGTCGAAGAGTTTGCATTGAATACCATTTATTCTTAACTGTACATCTTTTATTAGAATTTTTGGCATTTATAATTTTTTTATAGAGAAAGAATTTCACCTTAATTCGATTTTTTCACTATCAGCAAGTTTGGTTGGTTAGGTTAGGTTATGACAGTAATTGCCGGACGTCTAATCCACGTCCGGTTACCGGACGCGTATCCTCTGCCAATTTATTTAGTAGATATCGATATCGGTAGCCTACTCTAAACTTACATCATCTGTTTATTAAAGTTTTTGAAGTTACGTCTGCATGTGCTCAGTTTGCTTAAGGGGTACCCACATGAAAAGAGCTACATGAGTAAGTTTAGTCAATAAGAGATGTACCGTAGGCCTAACTAGTTATGTTACTTAACGTACCTGTTTATTTTTGGCTACCTAGTCAAATAGTCAAATGATTTCAATCAGCAACATAGTGATGTTAACTTCATATTCTGGATTTTACTTGCAAACTTAAGTATAATGATTTATGCGCTACGGTACCTTGCTATGATGAACATCGTAACTTAACATCAAGACAAAAACTTAGATAATATAGCTGGATTCACAAACAGTGAAAACAAATTAAAGGATGTTAGAAAGGAAGGAAGGCCGTGTGGTAGCCACAAAACTTGTTGCACAGATAGTAAAAAATATTCTGGAAGAACTTTGGTAAAAAAAGGTTAAATATCAAATAACACAGACTATTTAACAATATTAATTCATATTTACAACTTGGTGTAGATGAAAGTCTAAACTCGTCAAGTAAAAATTACTAAGGAAAGATTTTTAAATCGGAGAAACTATGTTGGTAATTTCTTAAAATAATTCTTGCAGTGGTGCTAAAAACTTAAATTGCTTATGAAAACAACTTTGCTAGATTTCTCATTGATCTCTATGTTTACAGTGTTGAGGGACGAGTTTCGGGTGGAGCCAAAAGACACCCGGGTTGCTGCGGGGGAGAAGGCGCTACTTCAGTGTGGTCCACCCAGAGGAACACCCGAGCCTTCACTCTACTGGAAGAAGGATGGCAACGTCGTGGAGATAGAAAAGTCCGACAGGTATATAGCCTAGATAGGTTGACTCAAGAAAGAAATTAGAAATTACAGTATACCTATTCTTGTTAGGGATTGAATTAAAACCGGAACAAGTAGACGAACAGTGTTTTGAGACAAATTTATAAAATAATATAGGTATTTAGACTTTTCTACAAGTTTGTTCCCTCTAGGGTGGTTATAAACAATACTTTCTGTGTTTTGCTACGCTAGTTCATAACTGCAATTGAAAATTCTAATTTGTTTCCACTTCAGCATAACCCTTTGGCCTTTGCCAGTTTATTTTTAACAGAAATTGCTATATGGGTAGTGTTGACGCACATTTATCAAAACTTAATTTTAAAAGTTTTTCTAATTCTTCTATCTTTTTTCAGGATACGAGTGGTGGATGGAGGCAACCTTCTGATATCGGATGTGAGACAAAGTGATGCTGGACGTTATCAGTGTGTTGCGCAGAATCTTGTCGGAACCAAGGAAAGTGTCAACGCCACACTCACTGTACACAGTAAGTAAAAAAAGCATTATTCTAGTACGGTAACTATGAATATATCAGAATGTTGTTATTTTTAGAATAGAGTATTTCCTTGAAGTGTCAAAACTCCTTCTACACATACATGATGATGATATGGACCAAAAGAGATCCCTAGTTTATTTCAAATAGCCTACCTAGTGTCCCTTAATGAGGGCAATTTGTGGGGTGGTCCTTTTCTAGCATAGAAGTCAAGAGTTTTCTAAAGTTTAGAATTTTCTATCTCTAGCTTAAAAAAAGTCTAATCAATGGTCATGATTTACTAGGTACATAACATCTCATTTGAAAAATTGACAGATATTTTTTTAGACAAATAAGACATGGCAAAATAATGTAGACTTTTGCCTAACCACAACAAATCTCTTGCTAGCACAGTATTATGCCGTAAGTGAGTGAAAATTTAAAAACGTACGTTTTCAGGAAAAGCACTTTGCAAATTTTTTTCCCCTTTTTTCAAAACGTTTATTATTTTTTTTATTTCATTAACATTTGAAATTTCATAAAATGTCCATGGTAACGCAATATCTTTGGTAGTTTTCTTTTTAAAGAGCATCTTTAGTAGAAAAACACAAAATCCTGTCACGACCATAACGGACGTTTAAATGAATATTAAAAATAGTTAATATTATTTTTATAACTATGTTTTGCTATAAACTAATTTACTTTTATGACCATTATACAATAAAAAGGTCACTGAGCTTTTGGTATATTTGGTCTTTCTAGAAACAAATTAAAAAAACTCAAAAAATAGAAAAAATCCAATAAAATCTTTTTAAGTTTGTATAACTCCGAAAAAACATACCTGAGACCCGAAAAATCGTTATGTTTGTATAGAGGTGTGCTTCTTTTGTGTATAAAACATTGAAATATGACGATATTTTAATTTTTGAAATTTTTATGATAGAAATCATAAACGTGATGGTCAGGGTCAAGCGGTACGGTCGTGAATTGTCTGGAATAATCTAAATCTTTCTAAACAATCCTTCAATTATACTGTTAGTTATAATAAAACTATGTGTTTCAATTGAACTAAACTGTTCAATTTACAATTATATTAAAGTTATTGTCACGACCAAACACACTATAATCCATAAGGCTGGATTGGTCGTGAAAAAAACCGCGATGGTCGTGAAACTTTGGTCGTGAAATTACGTGTTATTTGGCTCTGTTCTGGCGGTAGCCCTGCACCTCATGTTCGGGGATACAAAGTGGACTTCTAGGTTAATCTAGCAATTGAAATATCTTATAAACAAAAATTAACACCATGTCTACTTCATCGAATGACTACGTACGGTCATGGACGTACACCAAAATTACAAAAAACACAATCTTTCCTTTATTAATCTTGTAATTCCTCCTTTCAACTCAAAACGACCGGCACTACAATCCTGACGTACACCCCGAACTAGTCTCTAAAACCAACTGACTCCATCGACGCCAGGCTTGCCACTGTCGTGCTCCAAAGTTGAAATTTTTTCCCAAATGGTCGTGACGCCAAATCGAGGGACAGACTTATTTTGTCATGGTAGTCAGTTTGCAATGACAATAAAATTATAATATGCTCCTTTTTTGTAAGTTTAATAACCATTGATGACATAATAATGTGGCTTTATATATTTCGGCATGAATAATTAGTCTAAAAACAGTGTGAAAGTTGGAAAATGTAGGCCTACCCTAGGGACACGTCATGGTCGTGAATTTCGAGACTTGGAAAATACGAACAAAATACCTAGAACCTATTTAAAACCAAATAAATGTGTGTAACATGTTGCCCCCGTCCCAAAAAATATTAAAACACATAATATTAAACTACAAATCCAGTATCTACGAAGTAAAAGGCCAGGGACATGAAAACGTACGTTTTTAAATTTTCACTCAAGTGTCAAGTTTTTGAGACAAAAATGAAAGCGCTTTGTAAAATTTAACGAGTATCTGACCAATGTTTCTGTTTCAGCGAAACCGTACATGCTGTCAGAACCACGCGACGTGACGACATCTGCAGGCCAGAACGTGCAGTTTGACTGTCGTGTGGGTGGCGACCCTCAGCCTCGAATCCTGTGGCGACGGGACGACGGGAGGATGCCTGTGGGACGGGCACACATCTTAGAGGACAAGAGTCTGCGAATAGACAGTACAGTGCCGGAGGACGAGGGGATCTACATCTGTGACGCTGAGAATGATGTCGGCACTGTTAGCGCAAGGGCTTCTCTCATCGTCCATTGTGAGTAACCTACTGTTAAAGCGTATGGACCAAAAATGAGAGAGATATTGTTTAGTAGTATTTAATATATTTTAGAGGTAAAGAATTAATGTTAACAATTTTAACTACACACGTTGCTCAGTTGACGAGTGTGTTGTTTGTAAGCGTCCACTTTACTGTGGGTAGTTGAAATAATGTTTATTGAAATTAACATTAGCTGTGAGTTCTCGGTGCAATAGTAGGCTATTTATGGTGTTTTGACCAATTGCATACTTCTTTTGTTGTTTTTACATTTAGTAGGCTACTTTCTTGAATAATATAAACTACAAGATTAACAGTATCACTAATTTCATACATATTCAATTAAGTATTTATTTCTCAAAGATAAATTATTTATGTAACCTTAGATCAGAACATCATAAACTAGTTTTAGTAACTTGTTGAAATTTCCAGCTGCACCAATGTTTACCAAGAGGCCAACCGACCTGGTAGTTGGTCTCCACGGAGTCGCTCGTCTGGAGTGTGCTGCTGAGGGTAACCCCCCACCATCTGTGTTCTGGAGCAAGGAGGGCTCCCAGGTCCTCATGTTCCCTGGGAGCAGCTATGGGACGATGGCGGTGGACCAGGACGGGACACTGACCATCACAGGGGTCCAGCGGGAAGACGCTGGGTTTCTCGTGTGTTCTGCACTCAGCGTGGCTGGTAGTGCTACGGCTAGAGCGTTTCTGCAGGTGAGGCTGAAGTTGAAAATTTAACTAGTAAGTTTGATATGTTGGTCCTACTGTAATTGGATCAGCATGTTTGTTATGGATTTCTGATTGCAAATAGGGAAAACCAAGTAAAAATTTTAGCTTAAAAATTGTTGTTAAAATTTGAAAAAAGTTAAACCAACAATCCTTATACCGGTATATCTCATGATCCTTCAAATTTTTTTATAATTTACTTTGTGCTGTATACATATTTGTGACAATCAGTAATCAGTAGACCTGTTTTTGAATCAGAAACCATGATTAGGCCAAACTCTGCGAGTGTCCATAGAAGAGTTTGAGATAAGGCCTCTTTTGTCTATTTGGTGTATGAAACATGAAAACCACAAAATGCAATCCAAGCTTTGATTAAAAAATTATACTCCGTTCAAAATATTTAGGTAGTTTTAGGAGAAGAAATCTACCCCCTCCTCATCTTGATCCAACCATTAAAACATAGGTTCGTCAAAATGTCAATTGGCTGCAACATTAAGCAGAAAAAAGTGGTGGGGGAACTTTCCCTCAAACCGCCTAAATTTTGTGAACGGACTATAGTCAAACTCATTTGAAATTTATAAAATAACTAGGCCTATACTAAGGGGGAGAAGTATCTTTAAATATTTGAAAGTCCCTGAAATATAATTTACATTCTGGAAAGACACTCACTTTTGTATTTCATCAGGTGACATCAGTGGAGGACGTTCCACCACCTCTAATGGAGATCAGGCCTACCAACCAAACACTGCCTCTGCAAGGGTTGGCCACACTGGTTTGTCAGGCGAGAGGGTCGCCACCACCGCAGATCAAATGGTACAAGAACGGCTCACCGGTAGACACAGCGTCTGGCCGAGTGTCCATCAAACACTCAGGCTCCCTGCAGATTGAAGGTTTGTAGGCGTTTATTATATAACCTGCAATAACTTACTCAAGGTTTCAGAGATGTGGATTTTTCATGGCGCAAAGTGGTTTTGTTATTACATGATATGGTTATAAGTGAGATAACAGATGAGTTTTGATGACTGAGAAGTCTATGAATTGTACGTAAATTTTGTATGGTACCGAACAATTTTAGATTTTGAATTTGGAACACCTGGATATGTGCTTCAGTTTTATTTTTGTTAGACATTGGACACCATAAAATCACCTTTGTTAAGCACGGGTCACACTGGGCTGCTTGCCAGCCTCTGGTGATCAGCATCCGTGGGACCTCTTTAAGGAGTACTTAATCGATCATGTGACCCAATTATGTCGATAAATGATTATTAACCAATTACTTGTTCAAATACAGTACATATACAGTAAATAGAGTGCAAATAATACTGTAGGAAAGGGCATTGGATACTTAGATTCATATTCTCATAAAGACCATAGGAATCAGAACCCCAGAAAATAGTTCAAACAAAAGGATGTGGCTGATGGAATGTTTAGACATGTGTTATGTTGATGTGACTGTAAGTGACACGGATGATTATAAACAAAAGCCAATAGGTTGTGACTTGTGAGACAGCTGTTTATAAAAGAGGTCCAGCAGGGAATATTTATGTGGGAATGTTGACAGCACTGTGTAAACACACTTGAATGTGAAGAGCTCTGTAGGCCTTGTGTGGCCAACTCTCCAACTTCCTTCTCGTCTTGTCTTGCCCTAAACAAAAGAATATCTCTTCACCTTGTTTTTTGAAGATTCCAGCCTATAATTTAAATGTAATTCATGCCTGTAACATATAAATTGTGCAAAGGATTTAGAAAATTGTTGTAGAGTGGAGTTTAAGATTTACTATAAAAATTATAAAGAAATCGGTAGACAAAGTATACTACAAAATGAAGTTAAATATCCTCTAGCTTTCAAATGCCACTAGCACCATGTAAACATAAGAACTTGACTTCAAATAATCTTAACGAGGTGTTTTAATAGGGTATAGTCTTGAGCACTGTATACAGTAGACCCCCTCTTAACCGACCCTAATGGGACCGGACCTAGGTCGGATAACGCAAAAGGTCGGATAAAACGGGCAATCCCTAAAATCATAACATGATGAAGTGCTATTCATTTGGAATTATATAATCATTATTTTGAAGTCATACTAGCATTATTTATAAAATAAACTACTCTTATCTCCTTTTTCATATTGGTAGAAAAGTCACAAATAAACACAAAACACGGTTAAGTCAAATAGGCCTACTTTCAGTGGAATATATTATAATACTAGGCAAGAGTCAATAAAATTCCTATTTTAATAACTTTAGTACTGCAATGTATTAATTGATGCTTTCCAAATACATTGTAATACAGTACAGAACCTTTTGTTGACATTAGATACAAGCGACCATTTTGTTACAAGACAGGACGTTTATTTATAGCCTCTCACTGGAGTCTCGAGGCACAAAAACTATCTTGACCTTGGATTGGTTAACCCCCCATCCCTACAAGTTGCATTGTTTGTTTACTCCGGCGATAAGATAATCAGTTCTCAAAATCATGACGCACTTTATGATGTTATAAATTTGCCGTGCAGATAAGTTTAACAAATCAGATCAGATGTGCTCGAATACAGATATAGCTACGTGATCAACACAAAATAACTTATTGTTAGTCATATCCTGTGGAGATAAGCGTATGGTTCAGTTCTCATCGCCCAGCGTGGGAGCGGAAATGCCGAGATTCCTAGAAAGCGGCGGTTAAACCGAGCTGCTCTCAAAGCAAGGTCGGTTAAAACAAACTGCATTATTTTACGATCGAAGGCGGATAATCCGAGTATCGGTTAATACGAGGTCGGTTAAGAGGGGGTCTACTGTACATATTGCTAATTCATTGTTAAATAGAACTAAAAAGAATATAGTTTTGTGAGCAAGTCACAGATTGAACTACTGTCTAAAACTGTATTTTCTGGCTTATTATTTGTTACTGAGATATTTACATGACATAAAAGATGCTATTGCTTACAAAAAGTTGTCATTTTAGTTTGGCTTGGTTAAAAAGACTATTTAAGAATATTTAACAGAAATCAGTAGTTTACATCAGGGCAATCTGTCGGCAGCTCACTTTAACATTGACAACTTTAACATGGGGATGGAATGTATATGTTTTCCAATAGTCAAAGTTCCCTTGTAGATAAGTTGTAAGTTGTAAGTGAAAGTTTGGTTATGGTACCCCTCTGTACAATTAATTTATCCTTCAAAGGGTTAACAAACAAATTTATATGCACCAATCCAAAATCTAAGTAACAATATTCCAATCAAATTGCAGATCTACAACCGTCAGACGCTGGACTCTACACCTGTACAGCTACCTCTGCTAGTGGTGAGACGTCATGGACAGCTGCTCTGACTGTAGGAGGCCCCCATGTGCACCGCTCGTCCTCCCCCGCAGCTCTGCCTCAGCCCCCCGCCAGGCCCAGTGTCACCAACTCTACCCAGAGCAGTCTCACAGTCACCTGGCTGCCTATCAGTGATGCCAACTTGCTGGGTTATACTCTGGAGTACTACAGCCCTGACTTGCAGACAGGCTGGGTGGTTGCGGCTCATAGACTGAATACCAACACTGTTGAGGTAGGTTGTTTAGAGTCAAGAAGGAAAATCCTATAGCCTAGTAGGGAAAATCTACCACAAAGAAATTGTTTTTCTTAGTTTTTACAGAGAAGTAAGGAACAGAGACACTTAAGAGTACACTAAGGCGAAGTCTGACAACACCCCCTTGCCCTCATGTACTACAACACTCACGGTGGAGGAAGACCCTGTGCCCTGTATGATAGTAATTTAAGCACAGTGCTCGCCGTTTGGGCTCTTCCTTGCTTATTACAAGTATATCTCCAACACAACATACCAGAGGTGAAAGTGCACGGGGATGTCCCATAAGTTTTTCCTCTGTACCTTACTTCTCTGTGGTTTTTAGTATGTGGGTCTGAATAAAATCCATCTTAGAACCACTGTCCTACGGTAGTATTATGATGAAATTTAGTTTCTAACTATAAAATCAAGAATGGCTGGAGTTAAACAAATTTTTAAAAAAGTTTGAGTTCTTACTTCTCAAAACACCTTCCTGGGTTAAAATGCTGTCAATGACAGTGAAATATTATAATGTTTAAGTGTTGTGTTTCTTGTGGTAGGATGGACTCTTTTCCATTCCTAGAAATCAAGTTCCCGTTAACCTATGTCACATCATTAGTTACCTCCATTTTGAAGGAAACATAATCTAGCCTTAAAAAGACTTCATATGTTAGAGAAGAAGGGATGACACAACTATCTTAGGCCTACATAAGAATAGAGTTCCAGGTAGTTCATTGCACTCAAGGTTTAGGACACAATAAACTTGATATTTCGTCCCTTCAAGGAGTTTCTTTAGAGGATGAAGTTGAAAGAAAGATGTCTTATTACTAGCAGAGTTAGAACAGATATACAGTTTTTAAGTTCTTTGAGTATCCATACCTTCTTGTTTAATATGTATTCCTACGCTCAGTGCTATTTCCTCCAAAAAACTTACCATAAAATCTAGTGATTATTTATTCTGTCTGAGTATTCTTCTAGAGATGATGAAAAGGTATGAAAATGTTTAAACATTACTTAACTATCCCGCATGACTTGCAGGTGACTGATCTCAAGCCAGACACAGCGTACGTGTTTGTTGTAAGATCAGAGACTGCGGCTGGTCTGTCAGTACCCTCGGATGTGTCACCTGTAGCTCGTACACTGGCCGCAGACTCCGAGGCCGTCCCTCATCATCAGCTGGAGGAGGCTAGGGTGAGACTGGCTGCTAAGGTGGTGACTCTCACCCATGTCAGGGCAACTGCTAGCACTGCCATCACACTCTCCTGGGAGGTAGGCAACTTACTCTAGATTTCCTTGGACAAATCCTTTGCAAATAGTCCTTTGCAAAACACTTTGAAAAGACACCTACATGGATTTGCGCCTGAAACATGCTTGTTACTTCGACCTGCGAACATGAAATGCATTGAGAATCAATGTAAAGAAAGAACACACACACAGCAGTGTTGGCATAGGGTGTGGAATCTGAATGAATCCCAGGGTTTCGGTGGGCATATGGTTTGGGGGTTCTTCTCCGTGATAACTTTTGCAAACTTGGACAGATCTATTTAGCTCTACCCTATTGTAGTTTCAGACCTTGTTGGTCCACTTTAAAGTGCCTCAAGAATGTTTTTGTTTATCTCTCAAGTCACAGTCATAACTAAGTATGCAATTGTGTGTGGTTGTATTTTTCTTAGTCTGCAGGTTTGCTGCTGTGAAGCTTTTATTCATCCACCAATGAATTTGCAGATTCAAGGAGGCGGAGAGTATGTGGAAGGAGTGTACATCAGATACAGAGATATCTCAGGTGGCTCACAACAATTCAACATGGCCACCGTGCTAAACACAGACATCACCACTTACACTCTGGCTAATCTCCGCAAGTACACAAAGTACCAGGTGTTCCTAGTGCCGTTCTTCAAAACTGTCGACGGCCAGCCTTCCAACTCAATGGAGGTGCAGACGCTTGAAGATGGTGAGTTTTTTTGTCAATTTATACACATTAGCTAAATAGGGTTTTTGTTTTTTCTTAGTTTCCTTTGGTGGTATTTTTACTTGATGATTTAGGTACAGTAGAAAGTACTGAATCAAAGTTTAGGAAAATGGTCCAAAACTATACTTGTTGTGGATATGCTGGTAAGCAAAGCAGTCTCTTCTCATGCAGTTTTAGGATTATTGTTAGGAAAGGAGGCCACGTCAATAGGAAAGAGTCTACTCTGGAAGAAAGGCCAAAATCTGTACAGGTTCCACAAAAAATAGAATTTTTGTGAATTGTGAGATTTTGGTGTTTCCTGTGAAAGAATGGACCTTTACTTATTCAGCCTGCTATCATACAGGGTGTCTACTGGTCACGGAAGTCACCGAAAGTCACGTACTTTCCAACTAAGGTCACCAAACATTAATGTATCAATTATTTAAGATGGGGACGCCACTAGGTGTGTATTTTAACAAAAATATGAGTATATCTGGATGGGCAATACGGGCATACTAGCTGGGAGCTTACAGCTATCCATGAACCATATTCTGTCTCTTTATATTATTGTTATTTAATATTATTTCATTATGTTCACACAATATATGTGTAATACAAACACACAAGGATCGCCGTTTTGAATTAAATGTCAGGATTTAAAGTTTTATATCTAACTGGTAGGCTATATGTTATAATTGTTTGTAAAATAAACTTCCGTTATTTATTTACACACCTAGAGATGATACATTACCACGGGTAAAATATTAACTTCTTTAAAAAGGTATGTTTAGAATATTCCAACCTTGAATTGACATCATTTTCTGTTCCCCAGCTCCATCCGCAGCCCCTGAGAACATAGAGATGGCTTGGCTCAACGCAACTGCAGCATTCATACACTGGTCCCCTCCTCCCCCTCAACATTCCAACGGAATCTTGCTGGGTTACTTGGTAAGTTTATCCGATGTTGGAGAATATTTTAATACTAATACAAGTTTGAAACTATAAGGTTTTGGCTTGGTAGACAAACGGTACTTATTTTGACCTAAAACCGTTTTTTAAACAAGCTTTTTCAGTTCAATTTTTGGAATTGAAAAGATTCACTTTACCGCATTGTTTATTTTACAGCACTAGTGTGGTAAAGTAACGGACCAATGGGGCAAATCTTTCAGCTGGTAACAACCAATGGACCAATTCAATTGTTGTTGATCTACCAATTTCCGCCGGAAACTCACTCATCCTTTCATTAAGGTGAACTTAATGATTTGCTAACCGTTGCAGAAAGGTTTACTGAAAGATTTTGAACAGACCGTTTTACAAACTAATAAAAAACAGTCGTAGGTAATGTATTGCAAACAACTATTTTAATTCACCTTTACAACACTCATAGAAGCTTAGCACTAACTAAAGCTCATACCATAAATTTCTACTTGTGTTGTAAAGATTATCTTAACTTAACGCAATCTTTGTGTAACTATCCTAAAAGTTTTGTGTGTATTTTCTAGATTCATTTGAGAGACAATGAAAACAGGGAGCTGTCTACTTTGAGAGTGAATGCTTCCCAGACCTCGTCTCTTCTACGCAATCTGACCCAAACCCGGACATACTCGGCTACCGTCAAGGCTTTTACCACTGTGGGAGCTGGTAATTGATTTATACCTAATCGTACAAAATCATTTAGACAAGTCACATAGAAACTATGCAAGACAGTAGTATAATTATTTCCCCTTATTTACTGAAGTAGACAACAAAACCAAATAGACCTGCTGTGTCGCTATTTTTTCCCCCAAAAGAATATAGTTTTATGAGCCAGTCACAGATTGCGTTAGTTCCTAAAATTCTATATACCAAGCTATTTTTTGTTCCTGACATAGTTAACGTTACATTTATAGCTTACAAAAAGTTGTTCTATAACTTTGACTTGGTTTAAATGTTTGAATCTTTTACAGAACAGTGGCTCACTTTAATGATGTCCATTTTGATTTAAAAACGGGATACAACTTTAACATAGGGACGGGATGTCTAGTAACCAACAAACAATCCATTATAAGCAACCGTATCATTCAAGCGGTCATAATTTGTGTAGCTGTTAGAAAATTTCTTGGTTTTCAATTTTAAAACTATCGTTTTATATAGATATTGGTTACTTTCTTCGCAATCCAAATGTATTGTTGCACTACTGCTGTTTCGAGATGACTCAATCGTCGGGTGCGTAGTGGTACACTAAACTAAATGTTTGTTTTTACATTCAACACGAAATGTCTTTAATTTTCATTTCGCCTACAGTTAAATAAACATTACATGTAATGAGACCATATACTCTGATAATCTGTTAGTAATCGTAACATAATCCTTATAACAGGTCCAGGGGCAACCGCAAGTCTACGTCATACACCAGCACTTCACTTCACACCAGTTCCAGCACCTAACTTGTGGTTGATTCTGTTGGTGGCCGCCACAGCTGTCGTATTGGTAACTGCATTTGCCGCTACATTCTATCTGCGTAAGAGACAGGCTATGGCGAAACATATACCAGGTAGGCCTACAAATATATCCATTTGGAACATTCTCAATGTGATGATAAGTTGAGACCTACTACAATTTTTGTGAACTCTCAATAATATAAATATGTGTAACATGTGAATCACTCCTGTCGTAGACCAAGGTTGCCACTCATCCTAATTCTTTCGGGACAGTCACGACTTCAGTCCCTTTTGCATGTTTATCTCTGTGTCAATCCTAAGGGGAGGGGCCTGTCACATTTTTCCCAAAACAAAGGTCCAATTTTTCCAATCTCTGCCTAGAACGAACTCTCATGTCCTTCTAGTGTTGGGTGTAGTAATTTGTAATGTCAGGGGAAAAAAATTGGAATAGGAGCCAAAATAGAGTCACATAATCAAACTAATTTGTACTTGTTTGGAACCTTTCACATTTTTCGTAAATATTTCCATGGCTAAACACAATAACAATAGCTCATCTGTAATGTTACTTTTTCTGGTGCTATGCCAATAAAAGTCATATTTGCTAGAGTTGTAATGTTTTCTGCTTGTTTCCCAGCACCAGTAGTGAACGGCACAGAACTGGGAGGTGTGAAGGAGGCGTTGTGGATCGAAGTCCCTCACGATATGCACCGTAAACAGCTGACCCTGGAGAGTAGTGACTACGCAGAGGTCAACACGCAGAATCTGTCTAGCTTCTACAACCATCACAACCGCAAGGAGACTCTCACGCCGTACGCCACAACCATACTGGTGCCCAACCGTCAGGATACTTGCAGTGTGAGTATTACAACCAATAAAGGATACTGACATAGATAAAACAAACTTCCTAAGCAGATTTCTTATCCTTGTGGAACAGCTGAAGCCAATTTTATTGTTTGTTCTGTATGGTGCACTGTAGAAATTGTGTTTTGTTTACAATTTTGTCTTGTTGTTTCAGTAATTTAAATCCTCGTTTAACCAAATAATACAATCTAATCATAAACAATAACTTGTTTCCTAGTTATATAACCAAACAGTAAAGCACAAATCATGAAATTAACCTTAAAATAATAGAAACAAAATTTTGTCGACCCTAGCACAGAGTGTCACTGTACATGAACTAGACACAAAAAATAAGCTTCAAAATTTTCAATGGGGGGAGAAGTCTTCTTGTGTTGGTTAGTCTATACTGATCAAACACTCTTCTCTAGGTTTAGGATGGAATAGAGCAAACATGCTGATTATGGAGTCATACATTGATTTTGTTCTATTCAGACCAAGCCACACTTTAGTAAGCTTAATATGGATTGCATACATACGAGATCTTAACCTGCGGGTTTAGAATGACCTCAACGCTGAATTTGTCAGTACAATGTCTTAACCAACTCAGCTACCATACCAAAGTTGGTTGACCGGGAGGACAGAAACTATAACATAAGTACATGTTGACACTAGCGCTTGCAGGTTAGATTGTTAGATTCGACGAACTAAGCAATTCGCGAAGCCCCAAGCTTAACTCTAGCTTAGAGCTTAAAGTGTTAAACTGTATGCAAATATCATCACAGAATCTTATTCAGTAAATTTGAAAATCTCCCAAACAACAGCTAATTTTTATGATGTTTCAGGAGACTGGTCCTCTTGTAGTGCCCATTGCTGTTAGTTCATCGTCCAGCACAAAAACGCCCAACTCTGGTGATTCGTGGACCAAACATAAAGATCTTGGTGGTGAGTAACTTTTATTCATTATTTTAAAGGAAATCCAATTAGCTAGTAAGGGTTTTTTAAAAGGAATAGAGTTCAACTAGCCTGTCTGAGAAAATTAAGAGTCTAGGAGCCAATGGATACACAATCAAAGAACACAAAATATATAACAAATCTATTTGGTGCTGAAGTAGTAAATCGTCAAAGAGTAGGTTGAAATGAAAAAAATATCATTTAGATTTTATGATTTTTTTACTTCACAACTACTCTGTGAAATAGTCCTATGTTAGGACAAAATGAAAATACCAGTGTTATGAATTTGTGTGTATTAGCCCCTGGACTCTAGTTTTCTCAGGTAAGCTAACTGAAATCGATTCCTTAAAAAAATCCTTTTATTCACTTTCAGTTTTTTTTTTACAGTTTAGTTGGTTTCAAATCCTGTTTACTAACAGAACATGAAAGTGCTTCATGAAAGTCTTATAAATAAATTAAATTTTACTTAAAGTAAATTGTTCTTTGTTATTGGCAGATGAGACGGGACTTTACTCGTACTACCCGGTAGAGAAGGGCAACTGTCAACAACCTAACTGGAGTGAAATACTTCCACCTCCACCGCAACACCCCCCTCCCCCTCGGCCGTCCATCCAGGTATGCTGCAATGGCGGAAACTAAACAAGCCTTTGCATAAAATGTACATTCCATACAAGTAAATTATTCCAACTAATCATATTACTGTCTTTGTATTGCTTACATAATTGAATAGCTCCAAAAATGTTGCAAAATGACAAAAGTGAATATTTTCAGAAAAAAATCATTTTAGCCGTGCCAATGCTAAAAAGCCAGTTTTCCGAGCATTCCATTGTTGGTAAGTGCTGCCAACCAATGTTTAAAAAAAAAAACAAATATCCCACACAGACACAGTAGAGGATGTCAGCATTATTATTGTTCTTTAATATTTCAATTTCACAAAATATATCGTTTGCAGCGTTGTTGGTCAGAGATATTTCATGGATAAAGCAGGAAATATAACCAAATGTACCTACAAACATTTTTGAAACAAAACTTCTTTTAATTATAATTTGGTCACAGTAATTTCTTGCCAAGTGTAGGGGTTTTTCTTTATGTCATCTTTATCACATAATGATGTTTGTAGGGTTGTGGCAGCCCCCAAATGTGCAAGAGGAGTCTAGGTGGAGGAAACTCAACCCCCTCTACCGCTATTTACCCCCACCATCGGCCCCCACCATCGGCCACCACCAATGGCCCCCACCATCGGGCCCCACCACATGATCATCCCCCTCCAGTAAGTATATAGGCCTAAACTGCTGTCAAGGCACAAGTAAAAATTAATAGGCATATTATTGTTTCAAAATAATTGCTTTGCATTTTTCAGGAGGCTTAAATTCTTTTCATCTTTGCTGCCTATAAAACTGCTTTGGATTGGTTGCTGCTTTAAATATTGTACCATCTTAGTGTCAGGGCGTTCCTTAACCCTTTCAGTGCTAGGCCAATAATTCATATTTTGTAAGACTTTTTTGTTTGCCTTTTAATTCCATTACACGTTGTTGAATTTTAACTGTCATGTTGTCACTATTTTATTAATTAGGCTAATTTTGAATAATAACACAATAAGAAAATATATAAGAAAGATAAATCCCGGTATTTGTAGTAAACATCAAATAAAACTTAGTTTTTGTTGTAATTTTCCTGGTTTTCCTCTAATTTTTTATATTCTGATAGCATTATTTGAAACCGAAATCTCACAAAATCAAAAGACATATAGTTTACAATGTAATATTGAATTTAACCCTGATTTAGTTGGACGAGGTTATTGTAATATAGCAATTTTAGGGAAACTAATGTTTTGCAGCAAAGTCTCAGGAACACATTTACTACTACTAAAACTAAAAGATTGCATCTAAATAGTCCGTGACTAGCTGGTGCTGCTACCTAGTAACGCATTGAACAACCATCTGCAGCGCCATCTGTTCGCAATCGGTGGCGACAGCTTAAATACCGGGTTTTGACTCCCCAGTCTTCAAGCACAGATAGCCGAGAAGGCTAGGGCGTGTGTCACTTGGCCAGTGGCATTCGTCTGCTCGGGTTCGAATCCCGTCCTGTGTGGCAAATAATTGGTGACCTGTGTGTTTGTAGCGATATACTACAACCACTGGGGCATAGTGAGGTGTTCATAATCCTTGGTTTAGACATACACCTCGAAATCATCGGATTGGGCGAATCTTTTAGCTAAGTGGTTGGTAGTGTATCCTATGAACATGCAGGTCACCAATGGCTGTTTTGCTATTTTTTTTTTAAATAATCTTCCTCTCTATATCCCTTAGGGTTTTTTTAAAACAACGATATATCGTTTCATAGCACTGAAAGGGTTAACTCCATATATCAAGCCTTGTCATATTTTTCATTTTGGTTTTAGTGTATGTATTGTTAGAAGAGAAGTGTTAACATGGGTGCAGCAATTAAAAATCTTTCTGATTGTGTGGGGGATAATGTGATAAGCATATGGAGACATGTTGTCAATTACATCGTCTAAAATTGTGTAATCGTTTGGACATTTGTTGCAAGAAAAGTCCATGGTAATTAAATTAATGCGAGGAAATATGTTTCAGTTTGCTAATATGGTTTATTTCAAAATCACCTGGTACTTTCTTCAACTGTCCATACAAACTGCTGAACAAAGTTGATCAACTTTCAGAAACATCATCGATTGTTTAATGTGAGTTTATAAATGTGAAATGACTAGACAGTGTGAAGTAGCCATCTGTGTTTTGTGTAGGTGCCGAGTTTCCAATCAGGCTATCACACTGGCAGTAGTGGTGGGAGTTCTTGCAAATACCATCAACAAACCAACCACAACCAACATCACTGCACTGTCATCCACCGACACCCCAACCAACTGCCCAGGTGAGTTCAGGGAAATGGGTGCATAATAGGTTATTTCTTCACTAGGGTGTAAAGTGATTCTTTTTAACTCGATATCTAACTTTACAAAACCAAAATACTTGTCATGTGAAGATAAGCTCCCAAAACTACTTCCATCTTGTTTTCAATCTTGCAATCAATTATGAACAAACAGCTGTTTTGTGAATAGTAAGGTATTGATTATTGAATATTTGTTGTCTATTCCAATAATAATTGTGTTTGTGTCATACTGTTGATAGATAGCCCACTATTGATTTATTTTTTAAATCCCTAGGGAGAAAAACAGCTACTTTAGACCAGCAACGCATGTATTATAAGCAGCTGTTTTTTATGCAGTATGACAAACAGAGAAAATGGTATATTTCATCACTAGGGCCTATAAAGTGACTCTTTTTTACCCAAGGGCAAGTTTTACGATCGAGGCGAAGCTGAGGTCAGAAAATGAGCGAGGGTTAAAAAGTCACTTTAGGCCCGTGTGGTGAACTATTATTTTTTGTCATTGCATCATTAATTAACAAAAACAAAGCTAGAAAACAAAATCATTTTTATGTAAATATAACCTCTCAAAACTACTTCCGGCTTGTTTTCAATTCTGCTATAGCAAATAAGCAGCTGTTTAGTAAGTGATTCAGTTATTTTGTCTATTGCGATTGTGTTATTACACCACAAATCGCTATAATACAAGGGTAAAACTCTAACTAAATAAATCAATCGATAAATAATTTTGATCGATACGATTTCCACAATTGAAATTTACAACTGTTTACAACAGCTGATTTTTACTCCCTAGAGACTAAAAATGAATTTTACTCCCTACAGACTAAAAATGATTTTTACTCCCTAGAGAAAGTTCAAGATTAACTGTTATTCTTACAACATGTATGTTATGCATATGTTAAACATACCCAAATCCAGCAGTGTACAGCGATTGTAACATAGAATATTCTTCAGTTTCAGACAGGACCAGAACAGCTGTGACGGAAGCTGTCATAACAAGCAGAGAGGTTTCCAGTCCTCCATGGACAGACATATTCCTAATGGTAACTATAATTACTTTTATTTAGAAACTTTATGGTCTTTCTTTATTTCAAACACAAAACAAAACAATGTATTTTAGTTGAATTGTATGACTATTTTTGACTAATATTTGCTCATAATTTTTTGCTGTAGTGTTCCCTGACCAATTATTTTGACAAACAAAAAGATTATATTAACCTTGTAACAAGCAGAGAGGAAGTGAATTATGGTCCAAGTTTCGTCTTCAATTATGGACATTTCGGCTAAAATTCTTGGCATGTGATTGTACAACACCTTGTTAAGACTTATTTTAAATAAATTGTCAATAACACTAAACCTCATAGAATTATTCAACAATGCATATCAGCTGATTGTCAGTGAATAAAACAGGGATACCTACAAGCCTGTTTTGTCGTAATTAAACACCCTGTACCTATAATGGACCTATGTACAATGATTGGTTTCCCTTGTGCAGGCGACTGCCATGACTACAGCGACTATGGAGAAGTGGTGGGGGAAGGCGGCAGGTCTAACAGCAGTAACAGCTGTTGCTCGTGTAGTGAAATGTCCTGTCAATACGCACAAACCTGCTCGGAGTGTGTCTCTTCTCACTAGTCCGCAGTAAGTATAATATACAGTCTTTTACACAATTACAGCTGTTCCTTTCTAACAGCTGATTGTCTGAATTGTTAAAACATCATCTGTAAATTAAATAAAGTTCCTGAAGAGTTATAGTCACAGACAACCAAACTAGATAAAAACTGACACCAGCACCGTGTTCTTGGTCCCCCAAACTAAAATTGTTGCCAGTCCCAATACTCCTTAAACTCTCCACTTGCGCACCTTTGCACATTTTTACGTTTATACTATTTTTTCTATTTTTCATACCATTTTTCAATCCATTTCCAATATATCCTATTCACATTGCTATCAAATACTACGATTACTAATTCTCACATAAGGATCGAAACCGACTAGATTAGTAGAAGAAGTAAAGAACTCGTTGCTGGTGTTAGATTTGAACTAAGATAGCTAGTACTGGAGCTCGTTGGAAAACTGTACGGGCAACCCCCACATGTTCCATAGTAAATATTTGTATTTTTTTAATAACTTCTTTTGTATGATTCCTAAATTTCTCATTTTTGTTTCAGAATGTGATGTACCAACCGAATCCCCACATGAGACTGGCGCAATGATTTATCTATCGGAAGAAGTTTTCAACTGACGTGAAATAATGTGCCATTTAGTTACCAAATAAGAGCAAACTATGTTAATACAGACTGTCACCGTCTACGGTGGTGAATAAACCTGGAGACCTTCATATCGGTAATGACCTTTGAAGTAACAGACTTTGTATTACAACTTAAAATTAAATAAATTCTTAAATAATGACCTAGATGTTCCATAATCATCTTTCATGCACTTTTTGTGAGGAATGTAGCAACTTCAAATATAGCCATACCTGAATCTAGAATTAAACAAAACACATTGCAGACTTAGTGACACTTCCAAATATTCAACTCATTGATTTATTAGAAATCCGTTACTAATTTTTAATTTTTATCATCATAAAAGGCACAGTTTGGAATACAAGAACCACTAGTTAAACCGATAAGAAACTATCCTTGAAAAAAGATTACCTGTTTAACTGTTAGGTTATTACTGCTACGAAGGAATCCAAGCAAAGGAATAACTAAATAATGTATGTTCCAAGTAAGACTGCACAACTAAGTATTGTTCCATAACTTTTAAGATTCTCTGGTAGTTTAGAATATCTGATGTTTTAAAATCAGAGGTTTTTCATGAGAGAAAGTACTTGTAGTGAGCTAAATCAAACAAATATGTGTTATTAGTAGATAATGGCTTATTTTATCAATTCGATAAACCTTTGAAATGTATTTCTGATATTGCTGTCGAAATCCAAAGTCACTGCTACCATCTGTTTTGTTGTATAATTTTTTGTAGTTAAAGACGAGGACTTGATCTTACTTTCGCCCTGACATAAGTGTTTCTTGTGTCCCAGGATGTTGATTGTGAACTTTGTACAGACTGTATGGAAATTAGCCTAACTGTTTTGCCTGTGATATAGAGTAGTTGTAAATATGTAATACTTCAGTACAGTAATAGTGTTTTATAATGTATATAATAAACATAATTAAATCAACCACTTGTTTTCCCCTTTTTTACACCTTCCTCTATTAATTGTCTGGTTAGCCAAGTGGCTATAGTGAAAAACTTACAATCTGAAGGTCCCTGGTTCGATTCCTAGCGAGATCTTTACCAGACCCAAATGCCATTTGTTATAGGGCTATCAATTTAATGATGATTTCTAACAAACGGTTGTTAGATAGTAACAAGATCAGGGTTTGGAACGTCAACCTACAAAAAACCGTCAATTAATGCCACTGGCAGGATAGGTATGGTAAAAAAACACTAAGACTTAGCCTTTTTCCCCAGGGATTCAAAAAATTGAAGTGTTTTTAAAGAATTAATTCCTTTCAGTTTAAAGGGACCGATCAGTCATGGAGCTTTGGAATTTTTAACACAGTTGCTTTTTTTGGTTTGTAAATTTTTTTAAGATCTAGCCTCTTCTTAGGCCTAATAAGGGTTAACAGACATATTACGCTAAATCGACATATTACTCAACCATGTGAAATAGGGCATATGCCTACAAAATATTTAAAAAATAAAAATGGTAATGGTTTTGAAAGAAATCAACTGAGTAATGATTCTCCAATATTTTTTAATGTTTCTTATCAACCTGCCTGGGTAGCTTTATAGTACTTAAACAAAACAAATTACACATAGGCCCCACAACATTTATTCCATTTGTCTATATTGCAATAAATTCAATGTTGACAACATTTGATACAAGTAAATTCAGAAATTTGAACTATAATATAAAATCTCCACAGAAATACAACACTATTTTACGTTTTAACTGTTGAAATTTACTCACAGTAAAAATATGGTTCAAATAAATCTGTTCTTTTTTCCTTTTTCAACATTCGTACTCTTGATTTTTTCCTGCTAAACAGTTCTAGACTAAATACAGCAAGTGACCCACACAAACCGTAGAGTAATATTTGGAAAGCAGCCAAGTTATTATCAATTGTTAGTGGCTCGAACTCGCTCAAAGACTCACCAGAAGGCTCGGTTAGTAAGCGAGCCGCTTCCGGCGAGCCATAGTTACGAATCACTTCATTCTTCCAATGTAAAATGAGACCGGTTTCAAAGAAACGAAGCAGGGGATATTGACTTATTTCTAGAATCGGAGATAATTTGCTGAAAATCATAGATACATAAAATTGATTCACCGGCTCTTTCATGAGACGGAACATGCTGACGTCCGATCGGTTGATGCTCCGCTGAACAATGAAGACATACTCTTGGCCCAAACGCTGAGCTGGAAATGCTATTTTGTGAGATTTCAAGGCAGCTGGCATCTTCCTACTTGGTATTGCCTGAAATTTTTGCTCCATTTTCTTATGCCATGGATTCTGAAAAATTAAGCAATATTGTTTAAAATCAAAAGTTATAAGACATGTTGGAAATCAACCTAAGATTGATATTTTGAAAAAACACATAATCTTGCAGATTATAACTCCATATGGTTCAATGACTATTATCATTGGCTTTATATCTACATAAAGTCAATGCTATTGTCGTACCCTTTGAGCCAAGAAGCTTATAAAAAGGAATAGTTCACTATCAAGCATATCACCAGAGTAAACGGGTACAAACCTCAAATGATTGATACCATAATAAAAAATATAAAAACTGAACAATATGAACATCAACAAAGACAACAACGCCATTACCAAAATATTTTAGTAAAAACAATACGACAGTCCCACATTCTGTAAACAACACACTTCAAAAGTTGTTCCACCCCTAAACCTACATTGCTACAAACAACTATGAAAAATCATGTATCTATAGAGTTAAATGTGACAACTGTCAAAGTACTACATCAGATCTGTGAAACTAGAAGATCTATCAAACAAAAATGTTTAGAGCATATTCCTAAAAGATCACATTAGCAATCCAGATGTGCCTAACATTTGAATCAAACAACTATACATCTATTGATAAGAACGTGGAAATAGTATTACCAAAAAATTCACCATCTACAAAGCTAAAAAACTCCACCATGTAACATTTTAAATGATCAGTCTTCTTTCCAGTCAAATATTATATTTGATACGTATTTTGACCAGTTACAAATCAAAGAAGAATAATACAAGAAGAACAAAACAAACTGAAATACAGGTGGCACTGGAGAGAAGAAGAAACACATGATTCTGTCAGTTTTATTTTGTCAGTGGCGGTGATAAGACAGTGCTGGCAAGCCTGTACTGTTTTAATCAGTTTTAACAACTTTTATTTCATTTTAACCATTTTATCAACATGACAAGTTTCAATTATTGTGATTGTGACAGGTTTTTATGAATTTATTGACATACCACAATGTATACATTGCATACAAAATTATCTGATGAGGTTCTAATGATACCAACCACTGTAGTTGAATAAGGTAATCATTTTATTTTATCAATAAAAAAAACTTGATTATGTACAAACTCTCTCAACTGACTATCATGGGAATGGGCTGAGGTCATATAACTTTAACGGTTGTTTAGAACTCGCAACTATCTAAACATAATACAATAGGCACATTAGATTTACCTATGTTGTTGTCACCTGCGTTGTTGAAGGCAAGATGGTAATTCTGAGCAATTACTTGGTCAACCCCAATTTTTTTCATACTTTACTACGGTCATCAGGAGGTTCTCAGAAAGCAAGAAACATATAATTCAAGGCCCGCAAGGCCATATTACAGGTTGCCGAGCGATAAGAAGGTTCAAAGTTTAAGCGATAACAGTGGCTTGCGGGAGACGCGCGGAAGGCCAGTTGTGACAGGACCGTTATGGCTATGGCTAGTGGTTCCTCCGACAATCCTCCCGGCGATTACTGAGTTAATTAATAACCTAACTTAACCTAACCTAACCTAACCTAACCTAACTTATTATGTTTTTTTAGTCTCAAATACATCTCTAAGGCCAATTGTATCAGTACCGTTACGTTACGTTAGGTTAGGTTAATTAATAACCTAACTTAACCTAACCTAACCTAACCTAACTTAACCTTGCGGGGCTTAAATTATATGTTTCTTGCTTTCTGAGAACCTCCTGATGACCGTAGTAAAATATGAAAAACTCAAACCAGGTAAGTTTGTCTTACTACCCCAAGAGGATGCCTTTGTCCATTAGCTCTATGACACATTTAAATATTGTATTTTAATCTTCTAATACCTTGTATGTCAACAAAAGCTAGGTCAAATACCTCGTATCTTGGTTATTTGCTTATAAAAAAATATATATTTATGTATGTGTTCAACAAAGACTTTAATTTTGCTTTTACAACATCAAATGAATAAATAAAAATCATTGAGTCAGTTAATTAACCATAATAACTAAGCAGTGACGTTTTTTCCGTCTCCTGAAAACTCACCGAAATTCAGATACGAGGTATTAGAATGAAGCCCTCGACATGCTTTCAATGACCAAAACTAACATTTAAAACACCATGGCAATTAACATTAAAACATCAATGCATCCTTTACCTCCAAGTCAAAGTATACTTCTTGTTGAAAGTTACTGTACGCCTCTTCGCCCCAAAGATAGCCTGCCTGGACAAAGTCCTTGACTGTGTCTATCTTCTCAGCTTGGTGGGGAACCATCAAACCAGATATCATCATGTTATTGAGGATAGAAGCCATAAAGTAGCTGAAGAAAATAAACATTCTAAATTTTTCGTTTAGGTTAAGTATTTGTTATAATATTTATAGCTGACACTAAAGATAGTTTTAGTTTGAACACATAGCTGTTAGCGGATCCAGCATAAGTTGAAAAAAGGGCCTGCTTTTGTGCTGAAAGTATGAAATCTTCTCCCAGGTACATTTTGGTACAATCTAGACGAATAGAGTAAAATTTAAAGCTCACAATGCATACTTTCGAGAATTTGAATGGTTTTGAGACAATGAATTATAATTAGTCATCATAATCGACACTAAATTCTATAACCCTAGCTTTTTATTTGCTGGGCTTTGTTTTGTTCGAAACACATATTTTTACACACACAAATATTACTTTTGCCCTTTGTAATGAAATCTCGTAATTGCATTTCAGGTCACTTATCCACATACATCACAAATGTCTTCTCTCATTTGATCGAAATTCAGAGTCTTGATTTAAAATCCATATTACCTGAAGATGGACCAGCTCAGAATTATTCTTTGACCAAAAGCATATGAAGGAGGCTGATGTGACTGGCCAAGAAATATGCCAAAAACAGTCAGTATACTGTCAGCAATGCCTGTCATGGAAAATAATTTTATGAGTCCTAAACAGCCATGGTAAAGTTGCTAGCTTGAACTGAAAATCTATCCAGTTCAGTTACTAAGTCATTCTAAAATATGCAAGGATGCCGAAAAGTCAAAATTTTACGGACACAAATACAATTTTAATTTTTCTGTTGGTCTATAGTAAAACACTTTATCGCATCCACAGTGCATGCCTATAAATATCCACTATTCGTGACCTGGTCGCTGGATTACAGGACGACACCACCGTCCCAGAGAATAAATCCAATAATCAACCTGGTCCTGCTATAACCTCATACAGTACATTTGAACAAGAGGTTTATCTGATTATTTTACAGTCTAGTTTAATACATTTGTAACAAATATCAAGAGATTGGTTACCTGACAAAGTGTTTTCTGAGCTTATCTTATATTTAGAAAAGATGATCGTCACCAAGAGAAATATGATGAGAAGAAGAACCCAGACTGTTCTTTGAAAGAGAGTAGTTATTGTAGTCCAGTAGCCATGAACCATGATTGGACGGGGAACTATGAATGTGTGGTACATCTGAAAATGGTAAGATGAAAATGTCAATGTCAGTGTTTTGGGTATTTTGGTTTACAGATAGGTACTGGCAAATAGAATAAACGGTATCAGGAATCTGACACATACTTTAAGCTTGTCAACAACTTTTGTCGTGTGTTAACTATGATGGGAAAATCACAAAAGTTTTGAATTGTAATCTTCACCAGCATTGTACCATTGGGTAGAGTTTAGAACATACTAAATTTTAATTAAAACCATTCAAGAAATCTTTTTTTTTTTGTTTTTTTAACTCAATTGAAAATTATAATTTCAAAGAATATCCTGGAGATACCATAGATTAGTAGGAGACCTACCCCACGTGCCAAGTTTCGTCAAAATTGGAACTCTTGAGTAGTCTGTAGCTTTTGCATTCAGGGGGGCCCAAAACTGATATTTTCCTAACTCAAACTTAAAAATATTAAAATATTGACAAATCCGATACTTTCTCTATATACTATGTATAGGAGGAGAAGGTAAAAATTGAACCGATTTCAGTAACCTAACCTGGTTCCAAGGTGGCCCTAGTCCCACCAGGTTGTTATATCTCAAGGTGTTCCAGATATTGCAAAACCCAATCTCTGCCCTTCCATCCTGTAACATTCCGGTCAATCCTCCGTTCCAAGTTCCGTTGTCAAACATCCACCCCCACCCTCTGGCATCGATGTAGTTCGGGGTCATGTTCAGGTAGATAGCCAGATGCTGCATCATTCTCATCTCTATGCCGTCGTGGGCCCCTAGAGATTACAAACTATTGGAAATTGTCGAGTGATTTTACCTAGCTTGCTACTGCCACAGAGTAGAAAGGTACAGAGGAATTATTCAATGGTGCACGTAAGTGGTGTCTAGCACTAGTCGCTGGTGTTGAGGGTGTTCAATATTGCCCTTGCCATCATGCACTACAATTCTCAAAGTGGAGGAAGACCTTGTCCTTATGCAATGGGAATTTCCACTCAATGCTTGCCGCTCGGGCTCTTCCATGCTTTGTCAAAAGTTGTCCCATAAGCTTGTTTCCTCTGTACCTTAGTTCTCTGTTCAACCAGGGCCGAACTTACCTATGGGCGGACGGGGCGAGCGCCCGAAGCCCCCAGGCCCAGGGGGCCCTCCTCGCACAGTAGTTTTTCTTAATAAGTTCAAAAATTAATTAGGTGCTTACTGAATGACCTCTCTCGTTTTGTGTAGTTGAAAATTACGATCTCGGGAAACTATTACGAACAGCGGAAATTTTCGCAATCGCAAGAAATCATGACAGATAATGGTTGCTACGTTACTGCAATTTTGGCGTTGCCGCGATCTCGGAGAATCATCATGAACTACACCAAGATCATAAAAAATAGTCACAGGAAAAAATCACTGAAGATGATCGCGGTAAAACCTGCGTGTGAAACCATCACAGTTATTGTCCCGTTTGTGTAATCACACTGATGATTTTACTAGACCCTTTCTGACTTTCTCTTGATACCAGAAACCAGCTGCTTACTAAAAAGTGTAGTGAAATAGTACAACTATGACACAAAACTTAAATAGTTTTCATTTACAGAACCTCTCAAAATTACTTCTATCTTACTCGTTTTCAATTTAACTTGTTAATGGAAACAATCAGCTGTTTACCAAGTGATTCAATCGTTTTGTCTATTACGATTGTGTTAGTGTACATTATACTATCAATATGTCGAACTATGTACAATAAGGCAACAATAAGCTACAACCAATTAAACAATCGGTGCATACTTTCGATACATGTGGGTGTTCACAATCGAAATTTACAACTGAGTTGACAATAGCTGATTTTTACTAAAATCTATTTTTACTCCCTAGAGTGTAAAATGCTAGTTTACACCCGCAACTCATGCATTAAAAACCGGTTTTTTGCTGCAGTATGACAAAATAAACTATTGCAAGATTAAAGTACATATTGATCAAATAAATTGGTACAATAAAATCACTACTTTATTTTGTACCTGAATTCATGGGTCCTTTCAGGATGGAAAACAGAGAACAGTTGAACGTAGCAATATTTACAACTCTTCCTTTTAAATCAGTAACTTTTTCATCCTCCATACCAGCCAAAGAGTTCACCCTTTCCAAACGCCTGGGGGGGAAATGGGAAGAACTTAACCTACAAACCTGATGTTGTGTCATTAATATAACTCTTGCTACCCAAAAGATTTTGAACAATTCATATTTTCTATTGGCTTTCCTTTTTTGATATTCCTCAGCATTGGTTCCCAAAGTGTCAATGATAAGAAACACGTGATTTCTAGAGGGTGTTCCATCCACAAACAACTTTTGACGATGAACAACGTCAAAGTTGAAGACAACGTTGTTCACACACTGTGTTACGTTTGAGGAACCTGTTCTGCTGTACTTGATGTGATTAACTGAAAAGCTCTGCAATTTGTGAATTTCTTTCAAAACTTTTTCAACTCCGTAGTTGATAACTGTCGGGTTCCAGATGCAAATGAATTTTGAAGGAAATAACGAAGCAAACACATCGTTAAATTCCCAAGGATACTTCGGGATGGCGAAATAGTTATTGTAAACTATGGAACCCTGAATTTCAGAACAGCAACACAAGATTAACAGAAACCAACGCATATTGATAGTAGTAGAGAGAACAAGTTGTTCCAAGTATGATTTCAGTTTGAGGCTAGCTAAAACTAAGGCGAATTCACTTGTTCTGTTGATTCAAAAGGTGACAGTCACGCAGTGAAATTGGTAAAAAGTGTCAAATGAGGCAATTTGCGTTTAAGTTAACATTTGTTTACTTTTATATATTATTCAAAAAAGGGTGGTTATTTTCTTATCAATTGTTTTCAGATGGACGTTAAGTTATTTAATTTCCAATCAACGAATGATTTTAACTGTTAAGTCTTTTAATTTATGCTATACAAATAATTGCTAGCTGGGCGAAATAAACTCGACTGCTTTCGTGCAATACGCTATATCTTAATTCCTAACTACAACAATACATTTAAAAAATCAAATGCAGGAAAACCATAAACTTAAGGTACTTTTTATAGATTGAACTGTTTAGAGTAAATTAAAATTAACTGTTTTATGTGATTTCAAAGCTTAACAGGTTGGAATAGGATTTAAATATAAGAGCAGAAATTTTGACAGAATATTCAATTTTGAAAATTGGTCGGACCAAACAAACTCGAAAAAGATAAACCAAATTTAACTCCCATAAGAAATACATGGGGAGCAAATTTCGTTTACGTATTACCCGAGTGGGATTATAGATAAATATATGCAGATGCTTGATAGCAAATCTGTGCGTGCATACCTTCAATTTATAGATATCGAATGTTTATAATTATGTGTATTGAATATTTATAAATATTGAATATATGAATTTCGTTTATATTTTAGCTTTGAAAAACTAGACAACAGTAATATACAAGTTAGGACATGAACTGAGTTGTAGAACTTTCAATAAAATCACATTGTTAATAAAAGTAAGTAATACCATAGACTAACCAACACAAGTAGACTTCTCATCCCATTGTAAATTTTGAAGCACGTTTTTCGTGTCTAGTTCATGTACGTGACACATGGGCGCTAGTGTCGACAAAACTTTTCTATTATTTTAGGGTTAATTTCTTGATTTGTGCTTTACTGTTTGGTTATATAACTAGGGGACGAGTTATTGTTTATGATTAGATCGTATTATTTGGTTAAACGAGGTTTTAAATGGCTGTAATAACGGGAAACAAATTGTAAACAAAACACGACCTCTACATAAACGTACAGAACTAACAATAAAATTGGCTTCAGCTGTTCCATAAGGATGGGAAATCGACTAAGGGACTATATTTTATCTATGGTATTACCATAGATAAAACATACTCCCTTAGTAGATTTCTCATCCTTATGGAACAGCTGAAGACAATTTTATTGTTAGTTCTGTCCGGTTTTCTGTAGATGTCGTGTTTTGTTTACAATTTGTTTATATTATTTTAGGGTTAGTTTCTCATTATTTTTGTCTCACTGTTTGGACGATTTATTGTTTATGATTAGATAGTTTTATTTGGTTAAACGAAGTTTTAAATTACTGAAATAACAAGAAACAAATTGTAAACGAAACACGACATCTACAGAAAACCGGACAGAACCAACAATAAAATTGGCTTCAGCTGTTTTATCTATGGTAATACCAACAAAATGTTAATTATTAAAAAAATATGTTTTACTACATGGTTGTGCTTCTTAACCAAACACAAACGCCTTCTAAAACGGAACACCACTATTCTTACACTACCGCAGCACATTCAGTAGTTTAGCTTTCCAGTACTGAAGGCACTTAACTATACCAAAACAACAAAAAAATATCAGTATTATTGAATATATGAATTTCGTTTATATTTAGTACGCGTTTTCTACGGCTCATTTACAGAAACTGTTGGTTGGATTAAAAGTAACATTTTAACATAATTATTGGAACAGTGACACGGTTCAGAAATGTAAAATTAGTGATTAAATTGTTTTTACAGTAATTATACTTACATGTATTTTAGTATTATATATTTCTTATTACATTCAATTTTTTATTTTAAAAATTAGTTTGTTATAATTTTAAAGCAAGGACTATCAAGCAGTCTATAACATTAAATATTGATATTTTATATTATTGTTTCATCACTGTTATTTATTAACTGAAACTGTCTTTGCTGGCACAGATGTCCTCGTGATATTTAACCTTGCGGCACTATTAATTAATATTATATCGCCTTAAAGTTGTTTTGTGGTAATTTTATTTTTATCTTTCGCCTTATACAATTATATTAAAAGGGTAATATTATTGTTTTTTAATGGTGCATATTCAGAAAACACTGTATTACTGTATAAGTATTACCGTAATTCAAGTAATAAAATCATATTGAATATATTATGGTTAGTTTCAGTACCACAGTTTTGAATTGTAACTTTTACCCATTACAAAAAATCATAAATATTTGTCTATCAACTTTTAAAATAATGCTTCAGGAGAAAAAATTTAATTCGCTTCATTAAGCATTAAATCAGCGATGCTGGTTGAGTAGATTGTTGCATTGATAAATCAGCTGTTACATTTGTTTTTGTTTGTTTACTTTCCCCAAGTTAATACTTTGATTATCATTGTGTTTGATGACAATAAAGTAATCTATATTAGCATGTTTCTTGAAAACCTTTTTTCTCAGCTCGTGTGCATCGTAGGAAACATTTATACCTACGCATACTGTTAGAAAGATATTTTCATGTAAATGTGTAGAATCCCTTTATAAATAAAATAGGCTCAAAAATAAGCAGAAAAATGAATGTAAATTTAAAAAAATTAACATGGGCCTTATAGGTTGGAGGGTTGCCATGCTGGTGACTAAATAAGGAATATAAACAGAAAATCTAAACAAATTGAATAAATTCCAATCACATAATTATGTTTTATTTACAGGGTGGTGTAAAAATAGAAAAGTCTGTACATTATGGTCAAGTTTTGTCACTTGACGACCTCTAGTTGGTTTGGATTCTGCCTCACAGTTTAAAGCAAAAAATAAGACGTTTTCATTAAAATAAGCAATAGGCACGATTGAGATTTGCATGTATAATTTAGTATATTTAGAGACCCACATAATATTCTCTTCTGTTATCTCATACCAGTACGAAGCACAGGT